ACTTAGAACATAGAACATAGAACAGTACAGCACAGTACAGGCCCTTCGGCCCACGATGTTGTGCCGAACTTTTACCCGAAAACTAAGGTCTATCTAACCTCCACCGCTACTTTATACTATCATCCATATGCCTATCTAATAGCCGCTTAAATGCCCCTAATGAGGCTGACTCCACTACCCTCTCCGGCAATGCATTCCACGCCCCTACCACTCTCTGAGTAAAGAACCTACCTCTGACGTCTCCCTGATATCTACCTCCTTTCACTTTAAAACTATGTCCCCTCGTAAAAGCTACCTCCACCCTAGGAAAAAGTCTCTGGCTGTCTACTCTATCTATTCCTCTAATCATTTTGTACACCTCTATCAAGTCACCTCTCATCCTTCGTTGTTCTAAACAGAAAAGCCCTAGCTTTCTCAACCTTTCCTCGTAAGACCTTCCCGCCATTCCAGGCAACATCCTGGTAAATCTCCTCTGCACCTTTTCCAACGCTTCCACATCTTTCCTGTAATGAGGTGACCAGAACTGGACACAATGCTCCAGATGTGGCCGAACCAGGCTTTTGTATAGCTGGAGCATAACTTCACGGCTCTTGAACTCAATCCCTCTATTAATGAAAGCTAACACACCATATGCCTTCTTAACAACTCTATCCACCTGGGTGGCAGCTTTCAGGGAACTGTGGACATGAACCCCAAGATCCCTCTGCTCCTCCACACTGCCAAGAATCTTTCCGTTAACCCTGTATTCTGCTTTCAAGTTTGTCCTTCCAAAATGAATCACCTCACACTTTTCAGGGTTAAACTCCATCTGCCACTTCTCAGCCCAGCTCTGTATTCTATCAATGTCCCTTTGTAACATAGAACAGCCCTCCGCACTGTCCACAACGTGACCCACCTTCGTATCGTCCACGAACTTGCTAATCCACCCTTCCACCCCTTCGTTCAAATCATTTACAAAAACCACAAATAGAAGAGGATCCAGAACAGATCCTTGTGGTACACCACTCGTAACTGAGCACCATGTTGAATATTTTCTGTCCACTATCACCCTTTGTCTTCTAAGGGTCAGCCAATTCTGAATCCAATCTGCCACATTTCCCCCTATCCCATGCCTCCTTACTTTCTGCATGAGCCTACCATGGGGAACCTTATCAAATGCCTTACTTAAATCCATGTATACCACATCCACTGCTCCACCTTCATCCACGTGTTTGGTCACCTCTTCAAAGAATTCAATAACGTTTGTGAGGCATGATCTACCCCTCACAAATCCATGCTGACTATCACGAATCAAACTGTGCCTTTCCAAGTGATCATAAATCCTGTCTCTCAGAGCCCTTTCCAATAATTTGCCCACCACTGACGTAAGACTAACTGGTCTGTAATTTCCGGGGTTATCCCTGTTCCCTTTTTTGAACAAGGGAATGACGTTTGCCTCTTTCCAATCTTCCGGCACTATACCCATGGACAGTGAGGACGAAAAGATCATCGCCAAAGGCCCTGTGATCTCGTCCCTCGCTTCCCATAGAATCCTTGGATAAATCCCATCAGGCCCGGGGGGACTTATCTATCTTCAACTTCCTCGGTATTCCTAGCACGTCTTCTTTACTAACATCAACCTCCTCTTGCCTACCTGCCTGTTTCACAACGTCCTCCTCTACAACTAGGTCCCTCTCAGTTGTGAATACTGGAGAAAAGTATTCATTAAGGACCTCTCCTATCTCTTGAGGCTCTGTGCACAAATTCCCTTTACAATTCTTGATCGGCCCTACCCTTTCTCTGGTCATTCTCTTGTTCTGCACATACTGTAAAAAACCTTGGAGTTTTCCTTGATCCTATCTGCCAAGGTTTTCTCATTCCCCCTTATAGCTCCCCTAAGCCCTTTCTTCAGCTCCTTCCTGGCTAACTTGTATCTCTCTAGAGCCTTTTCCGTTCCTCTTTTCCTAAGCCTGACATAAGCCTCCTTCTTCCTCTTAACCAGTCGTTCGACCTCTCTCGAGAACCATGGCTCCCTCACTCGACCGCATCTTCTCTGCCTGCTAGGGACAAACATATCGAGCACATGCGGTATGCGTTCCTTAAACCATTTCCACATTTCTGTGGTGCTCTTCCTTGACGGCATCTGTTCCCAATTTATGTTCCCCAGTTTTTGCCTAACTGAATTGTAATTACCCTTCCCACTAATTATAAACTTTACCCTGCCATATGTACTATCGTGAAAGAAACAGAGTTATGATCGCTTCCGCCAAAATGCTCTCCTACCAACAGGTCTAACACTTGGCCCGGTTCGTTGCCAAGCACCAAATCCAAAGTGGCCTCTCCTCGTGTTGGTTTAACTACGTACTGTGTCAGGAATCCTTCCTGAACGCACTGGACAAAATCCGCTCCATCTAAACTATTACAACTAAAATGTTTCCAATCAATATTTGGAAAGTTGAAGTCACCCATGACTACAACCCTGTGACTTCTGCACCTTTCCAGTATCTGCCTCCCAATCCGCTCCTCTACTTTTCTGCAACTATTAGGGGGTCTGCAAAAAAACCCCAACAAAGTGACTGCTCCTTTCTTGTTCCTGACCTCAACCCAAACTGACTTGGTAGACATATCATTCTCGACTGCCTTTCAGTAGCTGCTATACTCGCCCTGACTAGCAATGCCTCTCCACCGCCTCTTTTTCCACCCTCCCTATTTCTTTTAAAGCATCTAAATCCCAGAACTTCCAACAACCATTCCTGTCCCTGAGTTACCCAAGTTTCTGTAATGGCCACAACATCGTAGCTCCAAGTACCGACCCATGCTTTAAGTTCATCCGCTTTATTTCTGATACTTCTAGCATTGAAGTATACACACCTCAAACCATCTCTGTGTCCCCAACTATGCTCCATTGACCGCATTTCTTTATAAACCACCTCACTCCCTGTTGTGTCTGTTGGAAGGCCGAATACCTCATCCTCTGAATTATAAATCCAGTTCCCCACCCCCTGCCAAACTAGCTTAAACCATCCCGTACAGCTCTAGCAAACCTCCCTCCCGGGATATTTGTGCCACTCCGGTTCAGGTGCAACTCGTCCTTACTGTACAGGTCCCACCTTCCGCAGAATGTGCTCCAATTATCCACATAATGGAAGCCCTCCCTCCTACACCAGCCCTGTAGCCACGTGTTTAGCTGCACTCTCTCCCTATTTCTTACCTTGTTATCACGTGGCTCTGGTAGTAATCCAGAGATAACTACCCTGTTTGTCCTGGACTTCAGCTTCCAATCTAACTCCCTGTACTCGTTTTTCACATTCTCAGTCCTTTTTCTACCATTGTCATTGGTACCGATGTGTACCATGACTGCTGGTTGCTCACCCTCCCCCTTAAGGATCTTGAAGACACGATCCGAGACATCACGGACCCTGGCACCCGGGAGGCAACATACCATCCGGTCATCTCGTTCACGTCCACAGAACCACCTGTCTGTGCCTCTTACTATCAAATACCCCACTACAATTGCTCTCCTATTGTCCCCCGTTCCCTTCTATGCCACAGGGTCAGGCTCAGTGCCTTCCCCTGGTAGGTCGTTCCCCCGCCCCCAACAGTATCCAAAATGGTATACTTATTATTGAGGGGAACGGCCACAGGGGATCCCTGCACTGTCTGCCTATTCCCTTTCCCCTTCCTGACAGTCACCCAGCTCCCTTTTTCCTGTACCTTGGGTGTGCCCATCTCCCTGTAACTCCTCTCTATCACCCCCTCAGCCTCCCGAATGATCCGGAATTCATCCAGCTCCAGCTCCAGTTCCCTAACGCGGTTTTTGAGTTGGGTGCACTTCTCGCAGGTGAAGTCAGAGGGGACACCAGCAGTGACCCTTACCTCCCACATCCTGCAAGAGGAGCATGCAGCTTCCATTCTCTCTACTCAAGATTTCCAGAAGAAGAATAAAAAAAAGCCTTACCTTAACGACCCTCCACACAGTCCTTTTTTGGTTAGAGGAGGAGGACGGGTGGGAGAGACTACACGTGTAGTGTTTCGGGTTTAGCCAATGCCCAAATTTATCTGTTTCTTCCTGGCTCGCGTTCGCTCCACACACCCGCCACTGAAAACAGAGTGCAGTGGATGCTGGGACATTGAATAAGTTTAATGAGGGGATAGACAGATTTTTAATTAGTAACGGGTTGAAGGGTTAGGGAAAGCGGGCAGGAAAGTGGAGTTGAGGCTGAGATGAGATCAGCCATGATCGTGCCAAATGGTGGAGCAGGTTTGAGGGGCTGAATGGCCTCCTCCTGCTCCCGGTTCTCATATTTTTATGTTAATATAATTGTGCTCACACTTCCTGATTCATATTTTTGGTCACGTTTTTTATTTTCAGTCGTTAATTGAATCAGACTGTCTAAACACTTGGACTGTATGTAAGCAAGTGTCTGCAGGACTGAGCCTGGAGGGCTACTGGAATAATTTCATTCTCTCACACGTTTCTTTTCCAGCTCCATCACCATCTTGTGTTATACCAAGGCCATGCATTCCTTAACTGAGAATGGGCAATGTAGCAATGTCTGATGAACAGGGAATGTTAATAATAGCCGTGACATTCGCAGTGAAGCCCTGTACCTCTGGAGATTAGGAGAGAATGCAAGGCTCCCGTCCATGTTAATAAATCATCCCACTCTCCACTTTCTCTGTAATTCTCACCAGCCTTATATCCCTCTGAGATATCTACGCTTCTCTAATTTTGGCCTCATGAGCATCCCATATTTCCGTTTCTGCACCATTGGTAGCTGCACATCACCTGCCCGGGATCTGAGCTGTGGAATCCCCCCCTTAAACCTCTACACCTCTCTCTCATCCTTTAAAACACCTACGTAGCATGGACCTAACATCCCGTTTATGGGGCTTCGTGTTGAATCTTTAGTCAGGTTTTTGTTTCTTTGAAACACTCCGGGGATGTTGATAACGGCACTGAAGGCGCTATGTAAATGCACATGCTGTTGTTGTAATCCACGCTCACTTTGTCCTTGCAGTCTCACCAGCTGCTGAGAGGATTCGCTTCATGCTGGGGGAAGATGATGAAAGTCCAGCCCCACAACTCTTCACGGAATTGGATGAACTCCTGGCTGTTGATGGACAGGAGATGGAGTGGAAGGAGACAGCCAGGTAGGGAAATGTTCCTGTTCGGAAAAATCCCAAACAAAGAGCCTCCGTGACCTCAGGGTGACCCAAAGGCGATGATGAAGTGCCTTTGACATGTGCTGCCCATGGTTACAGTGCAGAGTGTAGACTGGGCAGTTTGTACACAGCAAGCTGCCACAAACAGCAATGACTAGGAAGATCTGTCTCCATGATGTTAGTTGAGGCACACGTAGTGGCTGCAGGATTTTATACACAGGTTCACCAAATGTCTGACAGATAGGGAAACCCATCCATTTGTTGAAGTGTCAGCTGTTCACACCAGGAGAATTCTAGTGGCAGCTGGAAGTGTGGAGTCGGCTCTCTATCCTCATGGTGGAATGTCCACCATTGAATCTCGAGAGCTTCAACACTGGCTTGACTGACCCAGTTCAACCTTCCCCTCCCTTCCAAGAGTTTACAGTTTTCATTGTCATCAATCTATTCAAGTTTCCTCCCTCATCTTCGCTATCAAGACTCCCTCGACCTAACCCTCAACAACCACTCCTGTAATTTCTCCATTATCTCACCAATGTCAACCTCCCTCCCCAGCCCCACACAACATTATCTTGTGCGTGATAGTGACCTCCTCTGCTTCTTTAGTCTCCGCAGAGTAACCCACTGAATGTCTCCAAAAGCTCTACCCCCAAAAGCCTAAGCATTTGACCAACTTATCACTGTCCCTTCTCCATCCACAACTTCTCACTAATAAGGTCCTTAAAAGAGGTGGGGGATTCTCCTCAATCTCCTAGGGAAATATTTACCGCCTCAGCCATCCCCGCTGAAATAAATTGACCTGGTCGTTATTGTATTGCTGTTTGTGGGAGCTTGCTGTGCACAAACTGGCTGCAAAGCATTCTGGGATGTCCTGAGAATATGAAATATATAAACAAAATGATTTTTTTTCATTTTCTCGGGAGATGTGCAGTTAATGCAGCCCTTTTCAATAACTAGCATGAGATAATGGAGCTGGAGTAGATAATGGAGGCAGTACAGGCACAATGGGCCAAATGGCCTCCTTCTGCCATTGTAATAATTCCATGGTGATGTGCACTTTCCAAGAAGATTTTTTTGAAAAGATTTTTCTTCAGCAGCCCCAGAGAGTCACCGTAATTCAGTATTATATTCCTAAACATCCGTGCTACATTAACACTACCTTACATGTCAGCCTGCAATTTTGCAGAGTCATAAAGATCTCCAGTGCAGAAACAGGCCCTTCGGCCCATTGAGTAAGTGCCATTCAAAACTACCACCTAACTATTCTAATCCTGTTTCCCAGCACTTGGCCCATAGCCTTGTATGCCTAGGCAATGTAATGAGGGTTTCTGCCTCTCCCACACTGACAGGCACTGAGTTCCAGATTCCCACCAGCCTCTGGGTGGAAACTTCTTTCCTCACATCCCCTCTAAACCTCCTGCCTCTTCCCTTCAATCTATGCCCCTGCCCTCCGCCCACCATGGTCACTGAGCCCTCCACCAAGGGGAACAGTTTCATAAACAAACAGAGAAATTGCTGGAGAAACTCAGCAGGTCTGGCATCATCTATGGAGAGAGAGAAGGCAGAGTTAACATTTCGGGTCCAGTGACCCTTCTTCAGAACACCTTTGTCATCAAGGAAGAGCCACCTAATCAATGATGTTTGCAATCATTTCCCACCTCAGGCTCCTCTGCTCCAAGTAAAACAACCCCGATCTGTCCAATCACTCCTCATCACTGAAACTGTCCAGCCCAGGCAACATCCTGGTAAATCTCCTCTCCAGTGCAGTCACATCCCTCTTATATTATGGATTCCAGAACACTCCAGGGGTGTTTAAGAAACCATTTATCAATGAAGTGAATGATGACACCATCGCATTAGTGAGTGAATGGGAAGGGGAACTGACCTGTGCTTAAATTTGTAAGCTACAGCAAGCATGGTTTATTTACTCAACAGTGCTTTTCATTAGGAGCTGGAACTACAGTACAGCCTCCGATAACAGCAGGCTCAGGGATTGTAGTGAGCAGAGGGTCATTGCAGTGTTTGTAAAATCAGTCTCAGTCACTCACAGAAGTGTGGTCTCCGAGTGTGAACAGTGAGGGAAATCATCCCCATTGTGCCTGGGATACGCGAGGTCACTGCAAGCAAACAGGTTTTGTATTTAAACCTTTTGTTCCTTTGCAATAGGTGGATCAAATTTGAAGAGAAGGTTGAAGAAGGGGGTGAGCGATGGAGCAAACCTCATGTGGCCACGCTGTCCTTGCACAGTTTATTTGAACTACGGACATGTATAGAGAAGGGACTGGTCCTGCTGGATCTGGCAGCCTCTACACTCCCACAGATTATTGGTACGTTTCTTCCTGCAACCCAGTGCCTGGGGTAATGTTCTAAAAGGTGCTATATCAATGCATGATATGTAAATATACAATTTCAGTACAGTTACTGAAGGAGTGCGGCACTGTTGGAAATGCCATCATTTAGATGAAACACTAAACTATAGCACTTAGTGTAGCATGATGTATTTCTGTGTCCCCTCCCCCTGCCGGACTTGTTTAAACTCCTTCCAACAGCACTAGCAAACTTACCTGCAAGGGTGTTGATCCCAATGTGGTTCAGGTACAGACCATCTCATTTGTTCATGTCCCACCTTCCCCAAAAACAGCTCCGGTGATCCAAGCATCTAAAACCCTCTGTCGTGCACCACCACGCATTCATCTGTCCTATTTTCCTATTTCTATACATGCTAGCACGTGGCACCGGGAATAATCCAGAGATTATGAACATTGAGGTCCTGCTTTTTAATCTACTGCCTAGCTCCCTGATTCCTCATTCCTCACTTTGCCCAAGTTGTTGGTACCAACATGTACCACGACCTCTAACTCATTAACCTCCCCTTTCTGAATGCCCTGCAGCTCCATTTGCAACCTCAGCTCAGGGTGTGAAAATAAATCGCAGCCATTATTTCCCAGATCTGCTCAACATTTTTCACTCAACCAATATCTCTGAAAATAGACAATCAGTTCTTTTACTTACACTGCTGTTTTTGTTGGAGCTTACTGTGTGTAAATTGGCTGCTGTGCTTTTCCTACATTACAACACCAACTGCCCTTTAGAAATACTTCATTGGCTGTAAGGGATGTTCTGAGGATGTGAAAGGGGCAACAGCAATGCAGGTTCTATATTGATGGTGTTTGGTGACTTTAATGGGACAGACTTCAGAGTTGGACCTGATTTCTTGCCCCCTCCAGGGGACTGACCCTTTTCTCTTGTATTCTGGCAGAGACGGTCATCGATAACCAAATTGCTCATGGGCTTTTAAAGGCTGAACTGAAGGAGAAAGTGACCTACACTCTGTTGCGCAAACATCGGCACCAGACCAAGAAATCCAACCTCCGCTCGCTGGCTGAAATCGGGAAGACAGTGTCGAGTGCAAGTAGGCTGTTTTCCGCCTCAGATAATGGTAATGCAGGTGCCAATTTGCTGCAGTCACCTCTCCCACTTCAGTTACTGTCTACCAGCCCCATTGCTCTTCTCCATCACTATACATTCCAGACCTCGTCATCTTCCATGTATGGTCTCATATCATAGGAAGGAAAACCCACTCCAAACAACAACCTCATGGAAGCCTGTTTGCCCACGGATATGGATGGGAGTGCAGCTCTAACAACCTCAGAACCCACACCAGCAACCCCCCCCAAACCCCACCCCAACACTTGTTATTAGACACTATGTCCAGAGTACCACAATATCCTAAAGTCATCTTTAGACGATAAGCCAACATGCTTGAAGCTGGGAGGGAAGTGTAGATGATCAGGGCAAGATTCTGTCCTGATGAAGGGTGTAAACCTGAAACGTCGACTTTCCTGCCCCTCTGATGCTGCCTGGCCTGCTGTGTTCCTCCAGATCCTCACTGTGTTGACTCTAACTCCAGCATCAGCAGTTCTTGCTCTCTCCAAGATGGTGTTTCTCTCACATAATCACCAGAAGAGACAATTCCTACCCTCAGATCAGTTCCATTGTCACACCATGACTGCTCTGCATTCTAACTTCACTCCACGAAATCCTTAACCAATAAATCTCCAACTCCCACAATCCCAACAGCCCTAAAGCTTTTGAGGGGAGAGAGAGTTTCAGATTCCCACTCCACTTTGTGTGGAGAAGATTATAAAGACATAATGGGAAGAGAATACTTTGCCCATGGGAAATTCCTCACAGAAGACACTTGTCTGCTATTACCTGATTTATAGCTTGTTCCATCTGTTGAAGGGTCATGGATGCCAACAGCTGTGGAAGATTGCCCTGTAGTTAGTGCAAAACCATTCTCTGTGCCCTCAACTCTGAACTTTAAAACATGTTCCCGGTGCCAGAGACAATTAATCATCAGAATTACACTTAACACAACTTTACAGAAACACCAAGGAGTGGAAATTGACTCCAAATGTAACCAGTTACAATGGGGTGTGAAAAAGCATTAGCTCATTAGGAGCTACTAACCATTGGATAGATGTGAAACATTTGAGTCTTTTTGAGTTAATGATTTGGGTCATTTTTCAGCTGAAAACTGCATTGTTTTGCAATCCCATGCAGTCCTCTGCTTGGTTAGTGTACATCTTTTTTAAAATAGTTCTTCGCTACCTCTGCACCAACATCCATCCCTGAAGATCCCATTGACCAACTGGTAAGAGACACCAGTAATATTACACTCAGAGAGATGTCCCTTTCTCTAAGTTAGTGTTCCTCTATGCTATAACTATTGAAACTGATCGGATTTTCAGATGGTGTACTGATTGACTGGCGTAATCCCTAGTGGGGGAAAGTTCTTTAGTGTTTACAATAAAGAGATTTAAAACTTGAAAACTTACAATGACATAAAACTATAGTAAAGATATTTCTTTATAGTAATATTTAAGATGATCGTGATGATCTGCTACAGCAGGATATACATAAATATCTCTATATATTTATCACTGAGCTCCTATTGTGCGCTGATGGGAGCTAGAGTGGAGAGTGTTACAGAGATCACTAGTTATTAGTGGGCTCACTGTGAAGCCAGTCAGTCACTACCACATCTTGGGGTATGATCACCGTACATGAAATCATTTGGAACATTGGTGATGGAGTTGGTTGGATCTCAGTTTCTTCACTGGGGTGAATCTTGTGAGTTTCTGGCTGAGTGCACTGACCCAGTAGTCACATATTGGAAACTCGGTGTGCCCCCCAGTGTGGGGCAGGGCAATGTTACAGATTTGTGACATTCCATTGATAGAATGAGCAATGCATTGCCAGCCGAATACATTACTTCCCAATGCCCTGATCCACACACTCAGTCAAGTGAAACTCCATATCAGGAGGTCAGCCTGACAAGCTTCACCCTATCGTACACTGATTGTTAATTGCTCGAATGTGGATAATGATATGAACTTTTGAATATGTTTTTAAATTACATATCCTCGTGTATTTAGTCAAAGAGTGATGCTGAAAGTGGATTGTAATTCAGCAAATCACAACCTTATTAACTGGAATATCTTTCTAAAACCTGAAATTATCTCACTCAAAATAGTTTTCCAAAGTGTCAAAATGATTCCATTAGGTCTTTATTCTATAAGACGGATTTACAAACATAAGGATATGTAACTGTTATTTTACATCTTAATTCATTTTGCTTCTTAAACGTTATTGACCAGGGTTGATTGCTCACTTGTCATTGAGACTTCCATCTTCAGATTAATTGTGAGGTTTGTCCAAATATTAGAAGCAATTTGCAAATATGAAATATTTGAATACGTTTGTGCATTGGACTATGTTCGAATATTTGTGAGATTGGATGATAAGTTCTGAAGGGTTTGGAGTACAGCACATTCCCTGGTTGATTGAGCTTGACAAGTACCATGATGACAGATGAGATTTGATCTGTTGATTTTGTGCCTTGTGATTGTCTGAGATTACAGGTTGCTGATCTGGAGTCTCCTCCTCTTGACTGTCCTTTTTTGCTGTGAATTGAATTTCCTGCTGCTGTTGCTAGATTTTTCTCTCTCTCTCACCCTTGCCTTGCTGCCGTGCACTCTCCATCTCGCTATCGATGGCCTACAATAAGCTTGCAGTCCGCTCAAGAACTCTGTGCCTTGCCTGGCATTCCGATGCTCAGACCAGGACCTCCGAGCCCAGCAGAGCCTAAGCATGGCACTGCTCAGTAAGTCCAACACTTGTCAATGACGGGAGGGCTAGGGAGGGGGACAGAGTGACCTAGGCCACAAGGAGACGGACTGAGCCATAGTAACCTGCTCATTTTACTAATTTGTGCTCCTGTGCATCAACTGAGGTTGTATTATATCGAGTAGAGAAGATTAACAGGTGATTGAGTTATAGAGTCATACAGCACAGAAACAGACCCTTTGGTCCAACTAGTCCATGCCAACCATGTTTCCCAAACTAGCCTAGTCCCGTCTGCCTGCATTTGGACCATATCCCTCGAAACCTTTCCTATCCATGTACCTGTCTAAATGTCTTTTAAATATTGTAACTGTACCTGTCTCCACCACTTCGTCTGGCAGCTCATTCCATACACACACCACTCTCTGTGTGAAAAAGTTGCCCCTCAGATCCCTTTTAAATTTTTTTCCTCTCACCATTAAAATATGCCCCCTAGTTTTGAATTCTCCTACCCTGGGGAAAAGACCCCTCATGATTTTATAAAACCTCTATAAAGGTCACCTCTAACCTCCTACACTCCAGTGAAACAAGTCTCAGCCAATGTAGCCTCTTCCTTATAATTCAAACCCCCCCCTTCCTGGCAACATCCTGGTAAATCTTCTCTGAACCGTCTCCAGTTTAATAATACCTTTTGTTTAGCAGGGCAACCAGAACTATTGAGTTCTTGATCGATAATTAATGGGTTTGACAGAGTAAATAGCCAGAAACAGTTCAGTGTGTGTGGATGGGGGGGGGAAGGGAGAGTTCAGAGTGAGGGGACCCATTGTTAAAGCTAGAGACAGCTTGTTCAGGAGTGGTGTCAGGAAGCACTTTCACACCAGCAGGAGGATGGAATTCCCCTCTCAAAATTGTTGAGAATTCCAGTTGGGAAGTTTAAAATGGATAGGTTTTTGGTGGTTAAGAATCAAGGCTGATGGGTGGAAGTGAAATATAAAGCAGTCATGAGTTAACTGGATGACAGAACAGCCTCATACAGTCATAGAGATGTACAGCACGGAAACAGACCCTTTGGACCATGCTGACCAGATATCCTAAATTAATCTAGTTCTATTGCCAGTATTTGGCCCATCTTCCCTCTAAACCCTTCCTATCTATGTACCCATCCAGATGTCTTTTAAATGTTGTAATTGTGCCAGTCTCCACCACTTTCTCTGGCAGCTCATTCCATACACGCACCACCCTCTGCGTGAAAAAAGTTGCCCCTTAGGTCTTATTCACCCCATCTATACCCCTCATGATTTTATAAACCTCTAAATGGTCACCCCTCAGCCTTTGACACTTCAGGGAAAAAGTCCCAGCCTATTCAACTTCTCCCTGTAGCTTTAACCCTCCAACCCCAGCAACATCTTTGTAACTCTTTTCTGCGCTCTCTCAAGTTTAACAACATCCTTCCTATAGAAGGGCAACCAGAATTGTATACATTATTCTAAAAGTGGCCACAGCAATGTCAACATGACTGCAGCAACATGACATCCCAACTCCTATACTCAATGCACTGACCAATGAAGGCAAGTGTGCTAAATACCTTTTGCACCATCCTGTTGACCTGCAACTCCACTTTCAAGGAACTATGCACCTGCACCCCTAGGTGTCTTTGTTTGATAATACTCCCCATGGACCTACCATTAATTGTGTAAGTCCTGCCCTGGTTTGCCTTACCACAATGCAAAACCTCACATTTAACAAAACTAAATTCCATCTGCCAGTCCTCGGCTCATTGGCCCATCTGATTATCGTCCCGTTGTACTCTGTGATCATCTTCTTCACTGTCCACTGCACCACCTATTTTGGTGTCATCTGCAAACTTACTAACCATACCTCCTATATTCACACCTAAATCATTTGTATAAATGACGAAAAGCAGTGGACCCAGCACTGATCCTTCTGGCACACCGCTGGTCACAGGCCTCCAGTCTGAAAAGCAACCTTCCACCACCACCCTCTATCTCCTACCTTTGAGCCAATCTTGCATCCAATTGGCTAGCTCCCCCGGATCCCATGTGATCTAACCTTGCTAACCAGTCTACCATGCAAAACCATGTCGAATGGAATCCATATTGACAATGTCTACCACTCTGTCTTCATCAATCCTGTTTGTCAACTCTTCAAAAAACTCAATCAAGTTAGTGAGTCACGATTTCCCACACACAAAGCCATGTTGACTATCCCTAATCAGTCCTGGCCTTTCCAAATGCATCTAAATCCTTTCCCTCAGAGTTCCTT